AAATTTTGGGATTTTCACCCCAAATTTTGGGATTTTCACCCCAAATTTTGGGATTTTCCCTCTTTCATTTCCGGATTTTTCCCCTCATTTTTTGGGATTTTCCCCAAATTTTGGGGTTTTTTTCCCCGAATTTTGGGGTTTCTCCCCTCAAATTCTGGAGTTTTCCCTCCTTCATTTTTGGGTTTTTTTTCCCAATTTTTTTGGGTTTTCCCCTCCAATTTTGTTTTTTTTTTTTCCCCCTCAATTTCCGGCTTTCCCAAATTTTGGGGTCCCCATTTCCCTCCCTCTCCACCCCCCCGCCCCCAATTTTGGGGTCCCCCCACCCCAAATAAAGCAGGAAAAGGAAGGGGAGGGGTCTCAGAGTTTTTATTTTTTGGGGTCCCGGGGTGGGGTCACAGAGGGGTTTTTTTGGGGGGGGGTGGGAGGGGTCCCAGCGCTCAATTTTGGGGTCACATCCCAAATTTTGGGGTCCCAGGATTCAAATTTGGGGTCCCACCCCCGTTTTTGGGGGTCCCACGTTTCATTTTTGGGGTCCCAGCTCCATTTTTAGGGCCGTTTTTGGGGTCTCACCCCCCATTTTTGGGGTCTCACCTCCCATTTTTGGGGTCCCTCCCTTTTTGGATGCTCCAAATTTGGGGTTTTCACCCCAAACTCCGGACCGGGATCCCCCCAAATCTGGGGGTTTCACCCCAAAACCCAGCCCAGGACCACCCAGAACTGGACCAGAACCCCCCCAAAATCCGGATTTTTCACCCCAAAACCCAAACCAGGAACCCCAGAACTGGACCAGGAATCCCAAATTCGGGTTTTCTCACCCCAAATCCGAGTTTTTCACCCCAAAACCCAAACCAGGACACCCAAATCCAGCCCAGGACCCCCAAACCGAGCTCAGGACCCCCCAAATCTCGTTTTTTTCACCCCAAATCCGGGTATTTTTCACCCCAAATCCCAGCCCAGGACCCCCTAGAACTGGAGCAGGACCCCAAATCCGGGTTTTTTCACCCCAAATCCAGGTTTTTCACCCCCCAAATCCTGCCCAGGACCCCCAAACCGATCTCAGGACCCCCCAAATCTCGGTTTTCTCACCCCAAATCCGGGTTTTTTCACCCCAAATCCGGGTTTTTTCACCCCAAATCCGGGTTTTTTCACCCCAAAGCCCAAACCAGGACCCCCAAACCGAGCTCAGGACCCCAAATCCGGGTTTTTTCACCCCAAAACCCAGCCCAGGACCCCCAAACCGAGCTCAGGACCCCAAATCCGGGTTTTTTTTTTCACCCCAAAGCCCAGCCCAGCGCCCCCCCCAGTGCCACCAGCAGCAGCCCCGGTGTCACCGCCGGTGCCAGCCCCGCCCCCGTGTCCCCACCTGGGCCAGGTGCCAGGGGCCGGGGCCAGCCAGGGGGGGGCTCCCCGAACTGGCAGGGGTCCCCCTCCCCCAGCGCGGGGGGCGTGGCCTTGGGGACACTTTGGGGGGCGTGGCGAGGGGACAGCTCGGGGACAAGGGACAGGATCCAGGCCAGGTGAGGGGACACGGCCGTGTAGACCCCGGGGCGCCCGGGGAGCCCGCAGGCGTCGCCCCAACTCACCACTCCGGCCAGGTGCCAGGTGCCACCCAGGCGACAGGTGAGGGGACCCCCGGAGTCACCCTGGGGACAATGGGGGGACAGTGAGGGGACAGTGGGGACACTGAGGGGATTGGGGACGTCAGGGGGCTGAGGGGACTGGGGACATTGGGGACACAGGGACATCCCCACTCGTGCCAGGTGCCACCCAGGTGACAGGTGAGGGGACCCCCGGAGTCACCCTGGGGACAATGAGGGGACATTGGGGACACTGAGGGGATTGGGGACGTCAGGGGGCTGAGGGGACTGGGGACCTTGGGGACACAGGGACATCCCCACTCGTGCCAGGTGCCACCCAGGTGACAGGTGAGGGGACCCCCGGAGTCACCCTGGGGACAGCGAGGGGATTGGGGACATTGGGGGGACATTAAGGGGGGGACTGGGGACTTCGGGGACACACTGAGCATGAGGGACATTGGGGGGGCTCAGAGGGGACACGGGGAGGTGACACGGGTGACAGGGGGGTGACACGGGGAGGTGACACGGGTGACAGGTGGCACGGGGACAGAGGTGGCACGGGTGACAGGGAGGTGACACGGGTGACAGGGAGGTGACACAGGTGACGGGGAGGTGACACGGGTGACAGGGAGGTGACACGGGGAGGTGACACGGGGACAGAGGTGGCACGCACCTGGCAGGCGTCGCGCTGGCCGTGCGGGAAGCCGGCACAGATGGTGTCCCCCGCGGGTGTCCCCAGCCCCTCGGCGGGCGCTGTCGCCGTCCCCAGCGCGTACAGACAGCGACAATGGCGCTGGCTCAGCAGCGGCACCTCCAGCTGCTGCAGCGTCCGCGGCGGCGGCAGCGGCACTGCGGGGACAGCGACAGCGACAGCGACAGGG